ATGAGCACCACCCGTCGAGCACCAAAGGAGAGCACCAAGTTCCCGTCGAGCACGAAAAGCACGGATCGACAATGAGCACCACCCGTCGAGCACCGAAGGAGAGCACCAAGTTCCTGTCAAGCGGCAGTCAGAGAGAGAGAGAGAGAGAGAGAGAGCACGGACCACCACGCAGGTAGAGCACCGACCATCGAGCACACGCGCACCAACGCAGAGCACGCACACGCGCACCGACCACGGATCACACACACGCGCACGTTCCGGAAGTGGCGGGCGATTGGAGGGGTGGCCGGCAACACCGAAGATTCGGCGCTTCCGGTACCAACCGGCGACCGTGGAGGAGTGGCCGGGGCGGGCCACGATTGCGGCCGGACAGGCGGGCGGACGATTGGAGGGGTGGGCGGGTCTGCAATTCGGCGCCTCCGGTAGCGACCGGCAGAATCTGAAATCTGACATCGCACGGCCCAAATCGCAGGCCGGTAACCACCGCGGACGGCCCAGATCGCAGGCCGGTCAGAAAACTTTCTGATCGGCCTGCGATCCGCGCCGTCCGCGGTGGTTACCGGCCTGTGATTCGGGCCGTGTGATATGACGTTTAGCAGTTATTATAGTAGGTGTAGATGTAGATGTAGATGTAGACAAAAGGACTGGCCAGCCTCACATTCGGGCAGATTGCTCATTCGCAAAGAGTGTGGAAGTGCTGGTGCACTTGTGCGCTAATGTGAAGGGCAGAGCGCAGAGGCCAGAGTGCTGCGCTAAGTGAGGGAGAGAGAGGAAGATAGCGCTGGCAGAGGAAAGGCAGCCATAGCTGCGCCAGTGCAGGGTGTTAGTGTTAGTATCTAATAGTAGTCTTCAGAGAGTTAGTAGGGTTGGCAGTGGATGTATTCAGAGTACATCCATGAAGTAGCAGTTAGTGAGTGAGAATGCATGAAGGGAGAGAAGACACAGCAAGTTCATAGCTAGGGAGAAGACCAGCAAGGTGGAGAGAAACATAAGAGAGAAGAGCAGAGAGGAAGAGACACTACCTGAGAGAGTATGCTGATTATTGGTTACCTATTGGCATGCGCTGTTGAGGGCTGATGACTTGAACTCTTATTGCTCTTGTAAGACTTTCTGGAAAAGATAAGCTGCGCTACCTGGTCTTCATCTCTTTGGTCTGCAGTGTCAATTTCGTGTGAACTCATACATGCATCTGGTCTGAATATCAGAATATGTGCATTCATTGGTGTTGAACTAGGAGGTTCATTGCAACTACCTTAATATTGAGGATTCAATGTCAAAGTTGTACAGTGAAACCCTAAAAAAAAAAAACACAAAAAAAGAAAAGAAATGCCTGCAGCATCGAGGCAAAATGACTGCAGACACAGTGCGGAGTGCACAAGTAAAAATAACTGCAGTGTTTTGCCCTCGAAGTAAAACAAAAAAGAAAAAAGAAAAAAAAGAACTGCAGTGTCTATGCAAAACGACAGCAGAGAAGCAACATAAATATGTTGGACCAAGTCGGAGGAAGTTACCTAGGATACCAGCCAAGCCGTGCGGGTCACCTTATTTGCCCCCTTATTTACCCAGGCGGCCCAGCCATGCAAGGACAAGGGAAGGTCCCAGGCACACAAAAAAAAAAGCAAAAAAAACGAAAGAAAAACTTGCGTTATGCAGAAAAAAATGAAAAATAAACTGAACAACATTTGCCTCAGGGTCACATCGCAATTCCTTACCAAATTTAAAATATAAAATATAAAATTATAATTTTTTTTTTAATTTGGGCCCGGCAGGGCATGTGGTCCCGGGCCAGTCTGGTAGCATAGGGAGAAACGAGTAAATGAAAGGCCTTGTTTGACGACGGAGACGACTGGAGCAAGTTGGAGATTAAAATAATAAAGCCAGGTACATGACAGACATTATATGCACGAAGTTGAATATGAATGACCAGGTGCATGGTACATGACATAAATTAACATGGACCGAATTGGAGACCAAAGGACTGCCAGGTACATGACAGAAATTATGTGAAAGCAAATTGGAAACAGAAACGAAATGGTCTATTTTTTGATGGAGATAGCAGAAGAGCATTCAGCAAGTTCTTGGCCAGGTACAAAGAACCTGGGGACTCACCGTACGCCAGCTTGCGCCAGCAAGTTCTGAGCCACCTGATGCTGCGACTTCGTTGTAGGAACAACACCAGAACCGTCGCATCTGCCGCTGATTCCAAGTCGTCATGCTCTTTTTGACTGAGTCTCCAGGTGGGTGTAGAGTTTTCCATTCTCCTAATTAATATACAAAAGAAAAAGAAAAAACACAAAACTGCAATTACAAAAAAAAAAGGAAAAGGCCGACGAAGCAGCCTGGATTAATGGCCAACCGAACTCACCGGGCTTGTGGGTCGGACAGAGATATGGGTAGCTAGTGTGCGATGTATTGAGAGAAGAAAATAGGGTCGTCAAAAACTACAACTGTCCTCCATGTGAGGAGAAGACAGCTGTATATTTCTCCGAAAAATATATACACTAAAAAAAAAATAAAAAAAATCATGATTGTGTCTTCCATGCAGCAAAACATGCCACCATGCAATTGGTGTTGCAATTCTCTACCGTCTTCCTCCAAATAGAACTCGCGATATGGTCATTATCGCACGTATGTGGACTACAAGTTGCGTCAAATACAGCGATAATATGACTGCAAGTTGCGTCAAATACAGCTATAATATGGTTGTACATTCTATTAGGGGGGAAAGATGGTAGGACCAGTCTGGTGGAGATGTACTAGAGTTCTAGTGACGTCACTAGAAACATAGCATGGATTCGAATTCCATAGAACCAACAAAACATGGATTGGAAATCACTAGAACAAAATGTAGTGAGCTTTCCCTCTGGAAACAGTATCTAGACCAAAAGTTGTGCCACATACAGCTATAACCAGTCTGGAGATGGAATAGAGTTCTACTGACTTCACTAGAACCGTCACATGGGAGTGGAATTCAATAGAACCAACGGAACATGGAATACAATTCACTAGAACAATGGAAACAGTCCTTACTTTAACTACCGTCTTCACACGAATAGAGTGCCCCCGGTCATCATAGCCGTATGTGGGCCAACTTTCAGTCTAGATACAGCCGTGTTCTATTTGGGCGAAGGCGGTAGTAATAGCAAGCAACTTAACTGTGCCTACAGGAGAGCATCCCAGCTCATAAATTTGACAGAACAAAGAGAAGGCCAAGAGGCGACAGAAGGAAAGCCGGCTACAACTTGTTTGAGCATTTCGGCAAGGCCTCCTGATCTACAGGCCTCGCCACAGCACAGCATAGCACAGCAGTGCACAGCATAGCCATAGCACAGCATAGCATAGCACAGCACAGCATAGCATAGCACAGCACAGCACAGCACAGCACAGCACAGCATCACACAGCATAGCCATAGCACAGCATAGCACAGCATAGCATAGCACAACACAGCACAGCATTGCACAGCATAGCCATAGCACAGCATAGTATAGCATAGCACAGCATAGCACAGCATAGCACAGCATAGCACAGCACAGCACAGCATAGCATAGCACAGCACAGCACACCACAGCACAGCATAGGAGCAAGATTGTTTCTTCAGAATCCACTGACCACAAGATCCAACCAAAAGAAAGAGAAAACTTGCGGAAAAAACAAACAAACAGGCCTCTCTTTCGGCCGGCCGCCAGACACCAACCCGCCCCCCCCCCACCCCCACCCCTCCCAACTCCATCCCCCCCCAGCACAATGCACATTACCCACCTCCGCCACCACACCCTACCCCCTCACGCCGCCCATCCTGGCCGGGCTTAGCCCCGACCAGGCCATGCAGCCGCCTCCCGCTGCTGCCGCGATCCCTACAGGGGTCAGTAACACGGCACACTCTCAATCCGAGTAACTAAGACACATTAAAAAATATAGAACCAGATAAGGGAAGTTTGCACTTCAGTGAGTTCAAAAAATTTCGGACCCGATAGCAATGAGAAAGGATTGACGCTCTCGTGATTCACATTTCGACAAGACCAGGAGGGAATTACCACCATCCCGGTCTCGAAAAATCCCGGAACCAAAATCCCGTCCCGCTACCAACGCAAACAGACACCTCAACTATTATCTTTTCAACTCTTTCGTTCTTTCACATTTTCGACACGTAGGCCTACCACGTAAGCAAATTAAAGCAAAGAAAGCCAGAACGACAACATCAAAACAGCAATCTAAAAACCAGAAAAAGAAGGAAAAAGGAAAAAAAGGAAATCTCATTGCCCAACCCCCCCAAATCAAAAAGACGAACAAGAAAAAAGAAAAAAGAGATATTGGAAGCAAAGCACGCCCCAGATTTCAACACCAGGCGCATGTTTGTACTTTACTAGCTCGAATCTCGTCAACGTCAAATCGTGTAATTGCATTGCTACCATTGTGTTTGCTGTTATAGCCAGGCGATCGAGAGCTCGTCCAGCGGAGGGTAGCGCAGCCG